TGGGGGGGAATTGATGAATGAAGATCAGTGATAAATTTAGGCCTTGAAATTTGGATTGAAGATGCATGTTTTTGCTGCGAAGGATTTTGATGTCTGAGAATGTCAGGATGGGACAATGCTTAATGTTGCAAAGATCAAATGATTGTAATTTATTTTTGTCGATTTTGGCTGGAGAGCAGACTAGAGACCTTCACAATTTCTGTAACATTTATTCATAAAAAGACCCAGCTGTTGGCTCAGTATTTCAGAATTTATCATTTGTGTATCTCTGGTTTATTTCAGCCGTATTTGTCAACATGGTGGAAGTGGGGTGAAGACGGAAGATTAGGCTTCAACAACCGCACAAATGGCTCCGTCTGTGGCCAGGATCCAGAGTGAGTTTTGTTAGAATTACTTTCCTTTTGTTATCTGTTATAGTAAATGCTTCCACAATGAAGTTACATTTTTTATTGGTCCTTGACCTTGTATTTAAGGGTCTAGGATAAACGATAAGAAAACAAGGAAACTATCACCATTCGCTTACATCAGACATTTGGGGAATGAAATTATCAAAACTGCAGTATAATTATTAGAAAGAAGATCTATGATTCACTCCTTAAATTGATTTAGAATGTAAAGACTGCTTTCAAATCTTCACCTCGATTTATTTCCAGGTTTTGCCTGACTCCAGCGTCTACTGAGCCGTACGTGTGGCCTGATGATATCACAAAATGGCCAGTAAGTTGTCACGCCATCAAGTAATGGGAGGTTCTTTATATTGACTTTGTGCCTTTAATATGTATGGACACTGCTGTTAGGTTTGGGTGAATTTTATTTCTCAACTTGATATTTTTGATAATGTTTGATATTACATATAGTAATATGTCATTGTTTGTTAAAAACGCAATATTGGAATTTGTTTGAGAAAAGATAGTGGAAAACTCATATATCATGGAAAGGTTGTTTGAAATATTTAATTTATTTTTATAGTTATGTGTCAGAACTGAACAAAATCTAACCCATGGCAATGAATCAGAAGTAAGTCTTTTCCACCCACACATGACTTGCGAAATACGTGGGCGGCCATGTTGTATTGGGATCCAAGGAGAGTGTATCATCACCACCCCAGAGCACTGTGCGTTCAGGAAGGGATATTACCACAAAGAGGCTGCACTTTGTTCACAGGTAGAAAATGTGATGAATCCCGGATGAGGTTTATTTGGTGATTTGGTGAAGTTAGATGTAACTGAAGTGTTGAGATATTTAAAAATCTTTGTAAATCATGTAATTACGACAAAAATTACAATTCAGTCTAAAGGAGTCACTGCTTTTACCTTTTTTATCTAGAGTGTGTCAAAATCAAAATTTAACAAATAGTTACAAAAATGTATTATTTTGATAAAATACTTTTTAATTTACCCCCTATCCACCTTAAATAACAATAAAAAATTGTCCTGGAACCTTCCTT